TCATCGTCATCATCGTCAGCACCATCAACAACATCATCACCATCAGCATCACCACCGTCTTCACCACCATCAGTAACGTCATCATCATCATCACCATCATCATCATCACCACCACCACCCACCATCATCATCATCATCATCATCATCATCATGATCACCGCCACCACCACCACCACCACCATCATCATCATCATCGTCGTCATCGTCATCATCGTCCCCCTCCCTCTCCTCCTGCTCCTCCTCCTGCTCCCCCTCCTCCGTTATCATCGTCATCGAAATCACCAGCAGCATCATCACAACTCTATCATCACCAGCATCATCAACGTCAGCATCATCACCACAACCACCATCATCATCGTCTACACCACCACTACCATCATCATCACCACCACCACGATCACAATCACCATCACTATCATCACCGGCACGATCATCATCATCAACATCATCATGAGCATCAGAATCATCAACATCGTCATCAATGTCCATGTCATCCCCATGCGCTATCATCACCACCATAACCACCAGCATCATGATCATTATCATCAGCATCACCATCACCATCATCACCATCCTCTCCAGCGTCATCGTCATCATCTTCATCAGCGTCACCACGATCGTCATCATCACGATCGTCATCACCAACAACACCATCACAAGCATCATCATCATCAGAATCATTATGATCACCATCACAGTCATCATCCATATCACCATCAGCATCATCACCATCATCATCACCATAACCATCATTACCATCACCATCATCACCATCATCACAATCACTACCATCATCATCATCATCATCACCACCACAATCACAACCATCATCACCAGCATCATCACCATCATCATCAACATCACCATGATCATCATTGCCATCATCATCACCACCATCAGCCATACCAGTAAAATCATCACCACCACCAGAATTAGAACCACCATCATCATCATCAACATCATCATCACCATAACCACAACCATCACCGTCATCATCACCATCATCATCGTCGATATCACCATCACCATCAATCACTATGACCACCATCATCATGATCATCATCCCTTCCGTCATCATCATCACCATCATCATCACCACCACCACCATCATGACCATCATAATCACAATCATCGTCACCGTGATTATCACCATCATCATCGTCACCGTCCTCAGCATCATCATCATCATCATCACCACCATCAGCATCATCACATTATCATCATTATCGTCATCATCATCATCACCACCAGTGTCATCACCATCATCATCACCATCGGTGTCACCATCACCCTTCTCAGCATCCCCATCATCTTCATCATCATCACCATCATTGAGATCATCATCATCACCACCACCATCATCACCATCATCACCATCATCACCATCATCAACATCATCAGCATCACCATCACAATCATTAAAATCATCACCATCATCACCATCAGCATCACGATCATAACCATCATCATCATCAACATCCTCATCATCATCATCACAATCATCACCACCATCGTCACCATCATCAGCATCATCACCACCACCATCAGCACCATCATCACTACCATCATCATCACCATCGTCAGCATCATCGTCACCACCATCATTAACATCAGCATCATCATCACCACCATCATCACCACCATCGTCACCATCATCATCACCCTCAGTATCACCATCGATAACATGATTACCATCAGCATCAACATCAACATCACCAAAATCATCGCCATCATCGTTGTTATCATCATCATCATCATCATCATCATCATCATCTTCATCATCATCAACGTCATCCTCTTCATCACCATCATCACCATTATCAGCATCACCATCATCATCATCACCATCATCAGAACCACCGCCACCATCATCACCATCATCACCATCACCATCATCACCATCATCACCATCATCATCATCAAGATCAACATCAGCACCATCATCACCAGTAAAAACATCACCACCACCATCACCACCAGCATCACCATGATCATCATCACCATCATCACCATCATTACCATCATTAACAGAATCACCATCATCATCACCAGCATCACAGCCGACATCATTACCATCATCATCACCACCATCATCATCATCATCATCATGATCACCACCACCATCATCATCACCATCATTCTAATCATCACCATCATCATGACCACCATCATCACCACCATCAGTAACATCATCATCACCACCATCATCACCACCAGCATCACCATGATCATCATCGCCATCATCACCATTATCATCACCATTATCATCATTACCATCATTAACAGAATCATCATCATCATCACCAGCGTCACCTCCTCCGAGCCGACAGCGGCCACCCTCGTGGCCAGCCGCCCCTGGAACGCGGGGCCGCCCTCCCGCTCACGGCGGAGCGCGCGCCCGCGGGGCTCGGGCCCCGCTCACGCGCCCGCGGGCGTCGGCCCCCGTCTGCCGCCCTGGCGGGTGAGGTGCCAACACTTCGTCGTCGTCCGTCGTCGTCGTCGTCAGTCGTCGTCGTCGTCCGTCGTCGTCGTCGTCCGTCGTCGTCGTCGTCGTCCGTCGTCCGTCGTCGTCGTCGTCATCGTCCTCGTCGTCCGTCGTCGTCGGCGTCGTCGTCGTCGGCGTCGTCCGTCCGGCAGCGTCGTTGGCGCCGTCGTCGTCGTCGTCGTCCGTCGTCGTTGTCGTCGTCGCCGTCCGTCGTCGTCGTCCTCGTCGTCCGTCGTCGTCGTCGTCGTCGTCGTCGTCGTCGTCGTCGTCGTCGTCGTCGTCGTCGTCGTCCGACCGTCAGCGTCGTTGGCGCCGTCGTCGTCGTCGTCGGTCCGTCGCCCCTCCGCAAGGCCCCACGCTGCGGGGGGATGCGGCCCCACCGCCCGCGCCGCCTTCCCTGACGGGGGAGCTGTGCCGCCCTGGCTCAACGACGATGCTGGTGCACTTGTTCTTTCCGTGGTTTTTCGGCCCGAATCGTGTTGGAGCTCAGGCACCAAGTGAGCGACGATCGAAACAGGGTCTCACGCGAGATGGCACAGCGACCTTACGCGGCGGCTCACGCACGCGGGCCGCCAGCGCGGCACGCTGCATTGCAGACGAGGGCGCTCGCGTGCGCCTTTTACGCGGGCAGCTTACGCGCCAATGTCGGTGCAACCGACCCTCTCTTGCTGCGTCGCCCGGTTGGATGTTTGAAGGGCCCGCGGGCCGCCACTCACTCATACACACACGCACCGCCGCCTGTCCCATCGTCTCCGGCGGCGGCCGCGCCGCGCCCAGTGCCCGAGCAAGACGGAAGGGCAGGGCGGGGACCAACTTGACGATCCTCGGAGCGCGTGATGGAGCCAACAAGTTGCGCGCCTCTCTCGGCTACACGCGAGAGCGACCCTGGGTAAGAGTGGCCTTTGGTGCGCGGCTTTCTGGGGACCGCGGGGAGGCCGAACCCAGGCGCGCAAGCCGCCGCTACCGCTCCGCGTTCAGCCATCTGGGGACCCACCTGTACCGCCACCAAAGGTCAGTCACTCTGGCGAAAGGCCACTCCTGCGTCTGGCCGACCCTCCGTGACGGCCCCCACACACCCGCAGCAGAGGCGCGTTCAGAAAAAACGTCTCACGAAACTACTTCACGTGATGGTGGCTGGCTGGGCGGCTATGATGATGGCTGGCAGCGCGGTCCAAACGGACCGTCTGGACCGCGCTGCCCTCGCCTCCGGCAGCTCCCACCGGCAGCTCGCCGTAATGTGCACCGGCTACTGGCGCCCGCGGCCCCCGAGGCCTCCCGCGCTTCCCCTCTCCGCGGCCGCCCTTCCTGTTCCTCTTGTTCCGCTTGTCTAGCAGCGCGTGTCCCTGCCCAACGTGTGTGTGTGTGTGTAGGGAGACGGCCGAAGGGCCGTTCCTATACGGGGTCCGTAGGTAGAGGCGAGGAGTAGGACTCCTTTTTCCAGGGCGCTGCGCAGGGAGCAGTGCTCTGTCAGTATTATGCTAATACCTGAGCCGATATAGTTGCGGTACGTGAGGATAGAATGGAGATGTGAGCGGACTTCACGCACACGGCGCGGGCGCCGGCTGTTCGACGTCGTTGACACTCGCCCTCGCTTCTAGCGGGCGTGGCCAGCAGCCCACGGCGCCCAAGGCGGTCAGGGACGTCGCCGCACGGCCCCACGAGGGCCCCGAGCGGCCCTAGAACACCCGCCAGGCGCCCGAAGACGGCCTCGAGAGCCCTTCCGAGAGGCCCCGCCCCCCAAGCAGAAGAAAGTGTTGAATTTCTAGTTCGTCCGTCTTCCAGGCGTCCGAGACCGCCCGAGAGGCCCCGAAAATCTCCCAAGCACTACCCAAAAGGGCTTGCAGACTAAGCCCCCGAGGAGGCTGTCCAAGGAGGAGCCTGCGCGACAAAAAAGGCGTCGAAGAGGAAGAGCAAACATGAGGGAAGGAGAAGGAGCAAACTATCATAACGACCGAAAGCAGCAACAAGGAGTTATCGTTGTCTGTGATTGCATACCTCTCTCTATCTCTCTTTCTCGTTCCGCCCGCAGGCTGAAGTCGAAAGACCAAGATGCCTTGCGCGAAGCGCCAATCAAGTCTTGTTTGTTATGTTGATGTTCAGTGAGTGTGTAGTCATTGTTTATGTTGATCGCCCCGCCCCACGTTGCACACTCGTACTATTTGCATTCAATGAAAATACAAATAAATCTAGCCCCAATGCTCCTGCGCGCATCTCCCTGCCCACCCATCCTCTTCCACCTCCACCTCCTCCTCTTCCTCCTCCTCCTTCTCCTCCTCCTCCTCCTCCTCCTCCGCCTCGACACTAACCCCCTGTTGTTCCTAGTCCTCCTCCTCCTCCTCCTCTTCCTCCTCGTCCTCCTCCTCCTCCTCCTCCTCCTTCTCCTTCTCTTCATGCTCATCCTCATCCTCCTCCTCCTCCTCCTTCTCCTCCTCCTCATGCTCCTCCTCCTCCTCCTCCTCCTCCTCCTCCTCCTCCTCCTCCTCCTCCTCCTCTGCTCTGAGAACGCCTCGCCTTCTCACTGGTTGTACGGCGTGCACAGCGGCTTGCTGGGGTCGATGCTGGCGTTCGCGACCACGAGGCCCACGATGAGGCCGTAGAGACCCAGGGCCTGACCGGGCGGGCGGAGGCAGTGACGGGCGGGAGGCGACCGAGGAGGGAGGGGGGGGGGGGAGGGAGAAAGGGAGGAAGGACGCGGGCGGGCGGAGGAAGTGACGGGCGGGAGGCTACCGAGGAGGGAGGGGGGGAGGGGAGGGAGGGAGGGAGGGAGGGAGGGAGGGAGGACGCAGGAGGAGGAAGCAGGGAGGAGGGAGGATGCGGAGGGAGGAGGGAGGCGGGAGCAGGGGGGGGGCGGAGAACGTCGAGGGGGAGCGGGGGGCGGCAGGAACAGACGAGGAGGGGGCAGAAGAGGAGGAGGGCGGGGAAAACGACGGCGAGGGGCCAGACAAACGGACAACCGGGGCACGGGCAGGAGACGGGAGGGGAGGAGGGAACGAGGACGGCGACGAGAGGGGCGGCGTCGTAAACACCTGACCTCGCCAAAAAGCTGGCTTCTCCCCCGCCTTCTGCCCCGCCGAGGGCCGCGGCTACCATGGAGAAGCCGTGAGAGAGAGAGAGGGAGGGAGGGAAAGAGAGGGGGAAAAAGAGAGAGAGAGGGGGAGAAAGAGAGAGAGAGGGAAGAAAAAAAAAAAAAAAAAAAACACTTATAACCAACAAAAAACTGAAAGAAAACAAGGGACAGAGAAGGTGAAATATGTATAGAGAGAGCGAGAGAGAAAGAGATAGGGGGAAACGAAGGGAGCGAGAGAGCGAGTGGGAGGACAGGACAGGGCGGCGATGCCGCACCTGCGTGCGGAGCAGGCGGGCGCGCGCCTCTACGACGACTGCGGGGGGAGACCCGTAGGCCCCCTCGGTGCGTCACCGCACGATGGACTCTTCTCGACCTGTTCGTGGTGTCGTCGGTGCGAACCTCAGCTCTGACCTCATACTGCCGGCACAACTTCAGGTGCAGTCCCTGGCGGGCGACCGCTATCGTACTCCATGACCTCGTTCACCTCCTCGCCAATGGGCTTGTTGGCCTCCTTTGCCTTCTGCACGCTTTGCCACCATGTCTCTTTCTCTCGTCCGCAGCGCGCTCGAAGTCGGCACTGACGGATCTCGGGCTCAGCTTTGGCTGATCTGCCTCCTTGGCGTGTCAGGTCAAGTCCTGTTTTTCGCGTGAGCGTCCACCCGCACTCGGGCTGCGGACTGAGGGGAAGAAGGACAGGGAGAAGGACAGAGGGAGAAGGCGAGAGGGAGAGAGAGAGAGAGAGGGACGAGCTAGGTGCGCTGGCGCCACATGTGACATCCTGTCCCTCCCTCCCATCCCTTCCGATTGCGCTACTTCGTTCTCTATCCGCGTGCGAAGGTCATGGCCGACCTGGCGCTCCAGAAAACGGGCCCATCGTGCTATGCACACTCGGAATCTTGGAGCTGCGTAGATAGGAGAAAGGGGCGGGTGAGCTGGAGGATGAGCAGGAGAAGAAAGAGGAGGAAAAGGAGGAGGATGTGAAGGAGAAGGGAGGACGAACAGCAGCAGCAGGAACTGGAGTGGAAGGAGCGGGTGAAGCAGGAGGACCAGGCGGCGCCGAATGAGGGCAAAATGAGGGCCACGCCGACAACGATGAGAAAGGAATCAGATCCAGAAAAGTGGCCCGCGCTGGGGCGAGCGCGACATTTTGAACTATGGGAGCACACCGACGATCCGAAAATAAACCCCACGCTGCAGCGGGAGCACCATTCTGAAAACGAGAAATATCGGTGTGTGAACAAACCATACGAAATACAACGTTTGCCCGATTCAATGTACAAGCACTACGCGGAGATAACCGTTCTGGACAGAGTCAGGGGAGAGGGGAGAGCTGTTGTCATAATATGTAAGCCTGAAACGGGTGTATCGTGTATATTAGATGTTGCATGATAACCTGCATATACAATTAATACATACACATTGGCATGATTATATAAACACACTGCATAAACTGAACGAAACATCCAAAACACAAAAGCGACAACAGCAACAACAACAACAACAACAAGTACTACTACTACTACTATTACTGCTACTACTACTACTACTACTACTACTACTACTACTACTACTACTACTACTACTACTATGATTACTACTACTACTACTACTACTAAAACTACTACTAAAACTACTACTACTACTACTACTACTACTACTACTACTACTACTACTACTACTACTACTACGACTACTACTACTACTACTACTACTACTACTACTACTACTACTACTACTACTACTACAAAATAGCGAGAAAGAGAAGGAAAGAGGAAGGGAGGGTGGGGCGAGAAAAGAGAGAGAGAGAGAGAGAGAGTGCGAAAAAAAAGAGTGTGAGAGAGAGAGAGACACACAGAGAGAGTCAGGGATAGAGAGAAAGAGGGAGCCACCACTTCGATGTTCCCAACACCCATCCACCTGGTGAGCGGAGCCCTGACACCGAAATCGGCGGAGGGGGGAACTCCGCCGCAAGCGACGCAGGGTCCTCCAAGCTACAGGGATGGAGGAGGACAGAAGCCTTTGCACCGCATCATCAAAGGCCCACACATGCACCGCAGCTCCGTCAGCATGAGTACCGCTGCTCACGTTGGGCGCCGAGCGGCGCCAGAACGGGGAGATCGGAGAGCGCGCGCTGCGAAAGTGCGTGCCCGACTGCTCCCGCGGATAGCTGGCAGGATGCCCGGCGGGACGAAGAAGGTGTGGCTGCACTGCAACTGAAATGAAAAGGGAGAAGGGTGCCCCCCAGACTTCCGAAGACCTGGCTTCCCTCCACGAATGGGGGGAGGGGAGGGTGACCATCGCGGAAGACGCGCGGGAGCGCGCGCGGCAGCTGCTGCTGCGGCCAACGAGCCTGCACCCCCCACCAGGGCTGTGCTTCCTGCGCCGGTGGCAGCCTTCCGCAAGGCGGGCTCGGGCCCGGGGGGGGCGTGCACGGCCCCGGGCAGCTCTGGCCACTGCATCTCTGAGGCGGCGCCATCATCATCGTCGCTATCATCGCCAACATCATCACCACCACCATCTTGAAACGAGCCATCGACCTCAACAGCAACATGTGAACCGTCACTGCAGGGGCCAGCCATCAAGCATCAGCAACATAATAGTCATGATCCTCCTCCTCCTCCTTCTCCTCCTCCTCTTCCTCCTCTTCCTCCTCCTCCTCCTCCTCCTCCTCCTCCTCCTCCTCCTCTGCCTCCTGCTCCTCATTCTTACGCACTTCCTTGCATTTTCTTGGGGAGCAAACGAAAAATGCCTCTCAACCGGTACCCCGACAAGCGAGCCCGTTTAGTAAACGCACCCAAGGAAGGAATCGGACAGGACAGGGCTGCTCAGTCAACGCCCAGGGCCGCTTAGCAAACGTCATGTATGGGGTCGGGGTGTTTTCCCTCTCTTGATTCCTCCTCCCCCCTCCCTCCCCCTCCCCCTCCTCCAGCCTCGGCGAAGATGAGGATGAGGATCATGCCGACGAACAGGCGCTGCTGCTGGGCGTTGGCGCGCACGCCCGCGTCACCAACGATGCCGATGGCCAGGCCCGCCGCGAGAGAGCTCATGCCGACCTCCCGCTGCAACGACGGAGGTCGTCGTCGTCCGTCCGTCGTCGCCCGTCGTCGTCCATCTCGTCCTCCTCCTCCTCATCCTGCTCCTGCTCCTCCTCCTCCTCCTCCCCTCCTCCTCGTCCTCCTCCTCCTCCATTGCCACCTCCTCTTCCTTCTCTTCGATATCATCATCATCATCATCATCATCAGCAGCATCAGCATCATCATCGGCATCAGCATCATCACCAACACCATCATCATCACCACCATCATCAACATCATCATCATCATCATCATCAACAACAAGAGCAGCATCATGATCAACGTCATCATCATCAACATCATCATAATAATCATCATCAGCAGCATCAGCGTCAGCATCATCATCATCCATTTTGTGTTCCTCTCCTCCCCTTCTCCTCCATCCCCCTCCTCCCTCATTCTTCCTCCCCTTCCCCATATTCCTCCCCATTCCTCGCTTGGTTCCTCCTCCATCTCCTCTTTTTTGAAGTACGATTGCTTACCCAGCCATTTACCCAACTGCGCGCCCCCCCACATGCCTGACGAGGGCAACTCGCCTGGGCATGGTTTCTGGACGGGCTGGTGGAGTTACGCGAAACGTCTAGAATTACACCAAACGATGCCTGTGCAGCACTGTCATGATTTGAAACCCAGAATACTCTGGGAAACTGCGCCGCTGCAGAGCCCCGCACCCCGACAAAGGCCCAATGTGCGTCGGCCAATGCCGCTCGAACCCTGACACATTCCTCTACTCCTGACTGGAGCGAGACATGTTCCCGCCTGAGAACCCTTGTCCCCGCGGCCCCCCCCCCCCCCCCCAAGAGAGCGTGCCTCCACCTGGAAGATCGCGCTGCGCAAAAAATGCAAAAAGTATGACCTTCGCCAACGACGCCATGGAGCGCCATAAAGAAAACTATCATCGATCCCGCTTGCACTGGTTGTGGACATGTGTCCTGGCCACGCGTTGTAATGGGCAAGCTGGCGAAAAGCTACTGCAGCAAAGCACCCTGATCCGCCACCGTGCCCTTAGGCACGGAGTGGCCGTGTCCTCGGGTAAAGGCTGCAAAGAAGTAGGCGTGCTGGTGGCCTTGCCTCTGCCGACGCGCCAGTGGCGCGAAACCCCTAATTAACTAAAAAAGTGAGCCGCAAGAGGCCGCCGCGGCCAGGCCTGGCCACGGGCAGCAGGTCAGGGGCAGGTCAGCCGTGTCCTCGTGTCCTTTGCATGATCCGCTGGGCCTCACCCCTCACTCCCGAGGACCCTTTAGGGGACCCGGGCCCATCGCTCTCGAACTCCTTGGGGCTCTTCTCACGTCTTGTCGCGTCTTGTCGCGTGCCTTCCTCCCTCCGTCCTCCTCCTACCCCGCGCCTCTGCCACGCACAGACGCCGAAAACGACGGAAATCCTCTGGGCCCTGAAATCAGACGTTGCGAAAAAGCTGTAACGTCGCGAGAAACCACGACCGGAGCCCTGGACCCCATCTTGCTCTGGCATGATTCAAGCCCGTGATGGTTCCAAAAGGCACAGAAACCAAGCGAAATCGCCCAGTATAACAGACTTGCGACGCCAGGAATTCAAGGAATACTTTGAACCTCTGGGCCTCCCCCCCCGACTCCTGATTCCTGATGGCTGGAAAAATCGTCGATGGCCCTGGGGGCGTTGATCGAACTGAGGCCAGGTGACCCTGGAGCACCGCTCCAAGGGTCACCGACGGTAGCTGCAAGAAGTGGAAAGGTGGAAACCGACAGACGGGGAGGGGGAAAAGGAGAAGGAAGAAGGAAGATCACGATGATGAACAAGGCGTCCTCGAGGTGCGCCGGTCGGTCGCCCGCCTCGCGCGTTTTGAAGAGGTCGCAGGGGGAGAAGGGCGAGGAACGAGGGGAGAGAAAGGAGGGAGGAGGAGGAGGAGGAGGAGGAAGAGGAGGAGGAGGAGCAGGAGGAGGAGGAGGGAGGAGGGGGAGGAGGAGGAGGAGGAGGAGGAGGAGGAGGAAAAGGAGGACGTGGAGGAGGAGGAGGAGGAGGCGGAGGAGCGCAGAGCGTCTGCGGCGGCCCGCGCGGGCACTGCGCCAGTCGGCGGCGGCCGCGCCGCGCGCAGCGCCGGCCTGCGAGCGGCGGGGCCTACGCCGCGGCGGCGCCTGCGGCCTGGGGCAGCAGCCGCGGGAGCGGAAGATGGGAGGCCTGAAAATGGGCACCAACACCAAGACAGAGGGCTGCCTCCACAGGGGGGAGGTGATCCTAGATTTCGGTGTTGCTGGTAATAGTTCGGCCACCTTGGAAGCCAGAAGATTACCACCATCACCGAGATCGGGATCTTCTTCCCTCGGTGGAGGAACACCGCCGATCTTGGTGTTGGTGTCAACCTCTAGGCCTGCGAGAAGAGCGCCCAGGGGAGGGGGGGCCGACCGTGAGGCCAGCGGCGAGGTGCGCGTACCCAAGGTAGGCGGAATACCTGCCGCGACGGGGGGGGGGAGAGGCCTGGAACCTCGATCCTCCTCCTCCCCGCCTCCTCCTCCTCATCCTCCTCCTCCTCCTCCTCCTCCTCCTCCTCCTCCTCCTCCTCCCCCTCCACCTCCTCCTCCTCCTCCCTCCTCCTCCTCCTCCTCCTCCAAGTCCTCCCCCTCCTCCTCCAAGTCATCCCTTCCTCCTCCTCCTCCCCCTCCTCCCCCCGCTCTGACTACTATTATTATTGTTTTTATGATTCGCAATGATACTAGTATTACTCGTATGATTAGCATTATGATTCGTAGTCGTGGCATTAGCATTAGTCTTGTTATTATGATTAGTCTTATGATGATTGCTATCAGTCTTCTTCGTCGTAGTATTATGAATATTCTTCTTACTACAAGAAGTAGAATTAATGTCATATGATTGTGCTTGTTCGCGTTACTCTTAGAAGTCTTCGCATTTTCTTCCTGGATTGCATTAGTAAAATTATTATGCACCGTAAACCTAAAAATAGTGTTCATATTGTGATATTGCTGTTCGTCTCATGTTTCCTCTTATTGATGTTATGATTCGTATTATTAGCAGATTCCGATTCCTCCGCCTCCTCATCCTCCTCTTCCAATCGCTCCTCCCTGTTCTTCCTCCTCCTGCTCCTCCTCCTCCTCCTCCTCCTCCTCCTCCTCCTCCTCCTCCTCCCCCTCCTCCTCATCCTCGTCCTCCTCCTCCTCCTCCTAATCCGCCTCATCCTCCTCATCTTTCTCCTCCTCCTCCTGCTCCTCATCCCCCTTCTCCTCCGCTCTCCTGCTCCGCCACATCAGAATCATCATCATCATCATCATCATCATCATCAGCAGCAGCAGCAGCAGCAGTATCATCATCATCATCATCATCATCATCATCATCATCATCATCATCATCATCATCATCATCATCATCATCATCATCATCATCATCATCATCATCATCATCATCAGCATCAGCATCAGCATCAGCATCATCATCATCATCATCGTCATCAGCATCATAATAATCATCATCATCAGCAGCAGCATCATCATTATCAGCATCACCATCATCATCTTCGTCAGCAGCAGCATCAGCATCATCCTCCTACTCAACCTCCTTCCCCCCAGCATTATCCAAATCCTCTTCCTCCTCCTCCTTCTCCCCCCCCCCTCCTGCTCCGCCTCCTCCGCATCCTCTTCCTCCTCCTCCGACGCCTCCTCCACCGGCTCCTCCTCCTTCACCTCCTCCTCCTCCTCATCATCATCCACCCTCCTCCTCCGCCCTCATATTCCGCCCTCCTCCTCCGGCCTTCTCCTCCTCCTCCTCCTCCTCCTCCTCACCGACATCCTCATCTTCCTCCTCCTCCAACTCGTCCTCCCCAACTCCTCCTTCTCCTCCTCCTCCTCATCCTCCTCGTACTCCTCCTCCTCGTCCTCCTGCTCCTCCTCATCCTCCTCATCCTCCCCCTCTTCCTCCTAATCATCCTCCTCCTCATCCTAATCCTCATCCTCCTTCCCCTCATCATCATTATCATCATCGTCATCATCATCACCGTCATCGAACTCATCAGCAGCATCAGCATCATCACCAGCATCACCGGTATCATCATAATCATCATCATCAGCAGCAGCAGCATCATCATCATCAGCAGCAGCATCATCATCAGCATCAGCATCAGCATCATCAGCATCAGCATCATCATCAGCAGCATCATCATGATCAGCATCCTCTTCCGCCCTCCTGCTCCTCATCCGCCATCCTCCTCCACCCTCATCATCCTGTTCCTCCTCCTCCTCCTCCGCCCTCCCTATCCTCATACTCCTCCTCATCATCATCAATTTCCGTATTGTCCTCTTCTTCTTCCTCCTCCTCCTCCTCCTCCGTCCTCCACCTCCGCCATCCTCCTCCGCCTCATCCTCCTCCGCCCGCCTCATCGTCGTCCTCCTACCCCTCGTCCTCCGCATCCTTCGCCTTCCCCTTCCACCTCCTCCTCCTCCTCCTACTACCACTCCTCCACATCCTCCTCCTCCCCCTCACCCTCTAAGTCCTAATCCTAGTCCTATTCCTCCGCCTCCTCCTCCAGGACAGCTTTTCGTGGCCCCATAAGGAGCGTCGCCGAAAGCTCCAGTGGCACAGGCCGCATCCGTCAACGCCACCCAGGACAACAACGCTTCGTGGCCCCATATGGAGCTACACCGAAGGCCCGCCTCCTTCTCCTCCTCCTCCTCCTCCTCCTCCTCCTCCTCCTCCTCATCATCATCATCATCATCATCATCATCATCATCATCATCATCATCATCATCATCATCATCATCATCTCATCATCATCATCAATCATCATCATCATCTCATCATCATCATCATCATCAGCATCATATCATCATCATCATCATCATCATCAGCATCATCATCATCATCATCATCATCATGATCATGATCATGATCATCATCATCATCATCATCACCTCATCATCATCATCCTCATCCTCATCCTCATCCTCCTCCTCATCAGCATCATCATCATCTCATCATCATCATCATCATCATCAGCATCATCATCATCATCATCATCATCATCAGCATCATCATCATCATCATCATCGTCATCATCATCATCATCATCATCATCATCATCATCATCATCATCATCATCATCATCATCATCATCATCATCATCATCATCACCATCATTATCATTATCATACTTCTCCGCATCCTCCTCATCCTCAACATCCTCCTCCGCCTCATCCTCCGCCTCCTCCGCCCTCCTCCTCCGCCGTGCTCATCCGCCCTCTTCCGGCGCCGCGCTCCTCCGCCCTCTTTCTCCGCCCTCCTCATCCTCCTACTCATCCTCCTCCGAATCATCCGCCCTCCTCCTCCACCCTCCTCCTCCTCCCCCTCATCCTCCTCATCATCCTCTTCCTCCTCCCCCTCCTCCTCCTCCTCATCCTCCTCCTCCTCATCATCATCATCAGCATCATCAGCTTCATCATCATCATCATCATCATCATCAGCATCATCATCATCAGCAGCAGCATCATCATCCTCATCATCATCATCCTCATCATCCTCCTCCTACGCCTCGGCCCTCCTATTCACCCGTATTCCTTTTCATCCGCCCTCCTCCTCGGCCCTCATCCGCCGCCCTCCTCCTCCTCACCCGCCCTCCGCTTCCCCCTCCTCCTCCTCCTCCTCCTCCGCTTCCTCCTCCTCCTCCTCCGCATCCTCCTCTTCTTCCTCCTCATTATCCTCCTCCTCCTCCTCCTCCTCCTCCTCCTCCTCCTCCTCCTCCGCCTCCTCCTCCTCCGCCGCCCTTTATGTTGCCAGCATGCGAGGGAGGCTCCACGCGCGCCGTGGGCCCTGCCTGGCAACTATATCCATATCTGCTTGTGGGAAACCCCGACAGCTCTGGCGCAGTCCTCTTGTGAGAGCGCGTCAATGGGGGGAGGGCCAACGCAAAACACCATGGGGGGTTGCCCTTTCAACAATCTCTCCTTAGCGCGACGGCCCGTGCTGGTGGGAGCCTCGCACTGTGATCGCAGATTCACTGCCTTGGTACCCCCTATGCCACCACACCT